GGGGTCCTTCTTATAAGGATCCTACTATTTAGGGTGCTATTATTAGGGTCCCCTATTTACGGAAACCCCCAACTCTAGGGCAACAGTGCCCTCGAGCTCCTAAACCCTTAAACCTTGAACCCCCTTAAACCCTTAAACCCTTAAACCCTTAAACCCTTAAACCCTTAAACCCTAAACCCTTAAACCCTTAAACCCTTAAACCCTAAACCCTTAAACCCTCAAACCCTTAAACCCTAAAAGGTCCTAAAAGGTCCTACAAGGCCTTTAGTGCCTCGGACCCCGACGGTTGCATTACCACTGGATCTCACTGAGAGGTGGAAGTGGTTGGACGCCAGCCGCAGCGTTCGCACGGCCTTCCTCGGAGCCGCGGCAGGAGGCTGTTTTTCAGTTTCGGCTTAGGGCTTTTAGGGTTTATAGGGTTTATAGGGCTTCTAGGGCTTATAGGGCTTATAGGGCTTAGGGTTTAGGGTTTTTAGGGTTTGTTTTGGGTTTTTTGGGTTTACGCTTTAGGGTTTAGGGTTGTTTAGGGTTTAGGGTTTTTAGGGTTTTTCCCTCCCTCCCACTTAGCAAGGACGAGCCCGCATTGCAGGGTTGAGTACAGAACAGAGGGCAAGCAGTGCTGTTACCGGAGTCCACCATCTTGGGAAAACACAACATCAGCACCAATTCAGCCAAGACAGCCAAATTTTGGGATTTGGGGTTTAGGCTTTAGGGTTTAGGGATGTAGTGCTTAGGGTTTTTAGGGTTTAGGGTTTAGGAGGTTAAGGTTTTAGGGTTTAGGGTTTAGGAGCTGTTTCAGTTTCGCTTTACAAGTATTGGCTGCTCTTTTCCCTCCTACATAGCAAGGACGAACCCGCATTGCAGGGTAGTTCGGGCAAACTGTCTTAGGGTCCCTTGCATTGTAGGGTCTATTAGTGAAGGGTTGTTTTGGGATGAAGGCTTGGGGTTTTGGCTTTTGGGGTCGAGGGCTGAGGGTGTCCTGCGATTCAATGTTTTGGGGGGTTTAGGTTCTAGCGCTGTTTTGGGCCTTAGGGTTGAAGCTTCTCTGGGTTTACTGTAGGGCTTTGGTGCTTTGGGGTTTAGTGTTTGCTTTTGGATTTAGGGTTTAGGCTTGTTTTGGATTTAGGGTTTTGCGTAGGTGCTGGTCAAAACCAGCACCTTATAGAATAAGTATGAAGGGACCGTAAGTGGATAATGGCGCTAGCAATGAAGGCCTCCACATAAATATTCTTATTTATAGGCCTCTGCATGACTATGAAGGCCTCTATACATGACTTTGAAGGCCTCTACATAACTATGGCCTCTGCACAAACTATGATGAAGGCCTCTGCATGTCTTGTCCAGTTGTTTTGGCTTGTCCCCCTGAGGGCTCTGTGGTTCAGAACACAGGGTTCGAGTGGACCTCAGCCGTAGGCCCTTTGACCAGTTTGAAGGCTCCGTCAAGCCCCAAAAAGGACCCTAAACCCAGGGTTGAGGGTTTAGGGTTTGGGGTTTAGGTTTTAGGATTTTTGGGTTTGGGGTTTATAAGGGTTTGGGTTTAGGGTATTTGGGGCCCTCAATCCCAAACCCTGCACACTTTTGGGAGAGAACTCAGGCCTGAAACCAAGTGAATAATTGGTAGTCGGACCCCCGTATAGTCAGTAGACAGCCACTCCCAATTCTTCACACCCCTGTGATAAAAGCTCAGTGCATTAAAACACTGCTTGATGACCTCTTGGGTTTCATACAGTTTTTATACAGGTGGTTGTTCAACCGCTTTTAAGGGTTGACCAAACTAGCACATTCATGGCAGAGCTAGATAGGGTTGGTCCTTGAAAAGGGGCCCCTAATTTTGACAACGGCCCATATAACCCTAAAGCCCTAAAGCCCTAAGCCCCAAACCCCAACCCCTAAACCCTACACCCTAAAGCCCTAAACCCTAAACCCTAAGCCCTTGAAGCAAGAGTCTTACAAACCACCGAGCGTATGATGAAAAACGCGAAGACTCCATCCTGTGGCACGGCGGTGTAGTTTGAAAAGAACCTGCGGAAGGTCGAAAGCTGCAGAAGTCTTGGGATCTTTGGTTTTAGGGTTTATGGGGTTTAGAGTTTCAGGGCTTAGGGTTTAGGAGTTTCAGGGTTTAGGGTTTAGCGTTTCAGGGCTTAGGGTTTAGAGTTTCAAGGCTTACGGTTTAGAGTTTCAGGGTTTGAGGCTTTAGTTTTTTCAGGGGGCGTAGGGCATTAGAACTTGAGCTTCAGGAATTCGGGTTGACGGCATCCTTGGTTTCAGGACTACTACAGGGAGGTCTTGCGTTCAGGCTTTCTAAGGGCTTAATCTCAGTTACACAAGGTTTATTTTCGGGTCGATAAAATCTGCAAAGGCTCAAGGCTAAGAAACAAATCTATGAGAATTTGTATAAGTCTAGGGTGCAAAGTGGCCTACGCTGTGTCGGGCTGACGGCTCATTATTATAGGGTATAGATCCACGAAAAATGGGATGTTTAGAGGTCAGGGTTGTAGTTGGGCCAAAAGACTTGCCAAAGGAGCCATGAGAGAACCATTTTTTGCACAAGGGACTCGACTATTGCGCTACTGCTTAGCTCGACCCACAACACAGTACTCATGACTGCATCGCGAGACAGGCCAAATATGCCAACCATGAACCTGAAAATCGTAAACCCTCAAGCCTAAACCCTCAACGTACAGGGCTGAGGACCCTAAGGGCACCTGCATCCTTCCGTTCTCCGATGATCATCTCCGCCATTCGCGCAGAAGGTGCGACAGGTATGCACCTGGTTACGGCTTTTGAGTTTTGGGGTGAAGGCTTGTGGTTTTGCAGCTTATATAGGATTTTCGGTTTACAGTAGGATGCTTTTGGTTTAGGCTTTTATTGTTGCGGGCTTTGGGTTGGTGCGTGCTTTCATCACAAAATAGAAAAGCGTGCAACTTATTGAAGAGAGGAGACTATTACGCCGGGGGCAAATGGAGGAAGAGGGTGTGGGGTGAGAAGCTGCCTTCCCGAACTCATGGGAGGTCACCAGGCAACCACCTGCAACTGAGCTGAAATCCCTGCTCGGGTCATGTCCAGCCATCTCAGCGCGAATTGGCGCGACATCATTGGTGTAGACCATGACACCACCGAAGCAGAAGATGGGCCCGAAACAGATGCTCAGTCCCCCAACAAAGCGGAACCACATCATCACACGATCGAGTGAGCATCTTGTGTAGACCATGGGGCAGCGTTGCAAACGATTGTGCGTGATTGTATTGTGATCGTGGCACCAAACAAGCAGCAAACATGGTTCGTACTTCTCTTGGTGGACTTGTTTCAATCTGTGCGGTCTAGGCTGATTCAAAAACAGATGTGTTGGACGCACGGTTTCATCACGAGTTCCAGAATGCCTGAGCCAGGACCGGTCTATCTGCTGACTTCTGTGTTGCTATGAGCATTTGCAGCCCAAGACCCTCAAACATAAATCCCGAACCCTGAGCCATTGAGAGTGGAGACACTCAGCGATCACCCAAACACCACCCTTTTGCAACAGGCTTCGCACTTCGCCCAAACACCACCCTAAACCCTAAACCCAAATACCATTGCATTGATGAAAACGAGAGGACAAGAATCTCAGTGGACCGTAGCAGGGTCTGACAAAGCCGCAGGCCGCAGGCTGCAATTTCCAAGCTGAATTAACCCAAACCCCTGAACCTTACACCATGTATTCATAGAAATACATGTATGTATTTATTTGTTTGTTTATTTATTCATCTATATATCTTTTTATGAAACAAACCAGACACACATACAGAGACACATATTTAAACACCCGAAACACAACCATCTCAAACCCTTGAAACGTGAAAGGTCCCCAGAAACCCTCTAAAACCCATGTATGGTCTAGGGAGTCTAGGGCTTCTGGGTAAGCCCACACACCTGAACACACAAACTCCGGAACCGTGTAGTTGACGGTCACACTGCCGCCCCAAACCCAAAGAAGCAGTTGACAGAAACTCCGTCCGTATGTCATATTTACCCAAGCCCGAGATTCCTGGATAATGTAGGGGCCTTGATGATTAGAATAAGGTGTTCGGCTCCTTTGTAGCATTGTTTATAATACGGGGCCCTATAACAGTGTGATATTGGTAATTATTTAGGCTTCTGTACTATTCGAAACCTGAAAAACCAAGTCCTTGAGATCTTCCCCTCCGATCGTTTTGTGTGCACGCCGAGATGGACAGCACGGCATCTCCCCAGAGAGGAGTCGTTACAACCAAGCTTGGGCTCCGAGATGCATCGGGCGAACCCGTGCGGGGGCTCCACTTAGATGATTACGACGTATTTTCAAAGGGGTTGAAATTCCGGGTTTAGGCGACTTTAAGGGAAAAGCGTTGGAGGGGGAACAGGCTTGAGGGCATCAGGATATTGCAACAGTCTTCAGGCATTAGGCTTTGAGTTTACACTTGAAATCCAGGTAGATACTTGGGTTGGAGGCGTATGGTTCTAAAGAGGCGCAAATTCTAAAGCTGCAGTGTGTGTGTGTTAAGGCTTGTCGGATGTGTACGAATCTACAACATCTGCTGCATACCGGGCGTTTCGCTAATTTTTGAGGTTCGTGCCTAGGAATGCTGACTAGCTTGTGCGCAGAAAATGCTTATCCCAAAAGCCCCGAAGCCCAAACTGCCGTCGAAACATCAAGACCCATAAGGGCCCATAACCCAAAGTCTTCTTACCAAAGCCTATGCCTGAAACCCCGAAAGTCCTATGAAGCCGCGAAAAACAGGCGAGACCTAGCTTTAGACTGGAACCCCGAAGACCAGCCGAAGCCCTAAATCTCGAAAACGGCA